ACGGCCGAAGCCAATAGTGCTTTCGAAAAATTAAAACAAGCATTAACGCAAGCCCCTGTGTTTGAAATTTCCTGAAAAGGATGATGAAAATTTAGAAATTTCAGCGGATGCTTCGGATTATGCGGTAGGAGCGGTACTTTCGCAAAATCAGCAGCCCGTGGCATTTTTTAGCCGAACTTTAAATCAAACACAAAGAAAACTATTCCGCGACCGAGAGAGAGAGAGGCACTTGCAGTTCTGTTAGCAGTGCAAAAGTTCCGAGTCTATTTTGGAAAGGCGCCGATAACAGTATATTCTGATCATGCGGCGGTAACTAGATTGTACTCAGGGAAAAAATTTATCCCCAAGGTTAATAAGATGGGCACTCAAGCTGCAAGAATATAATCTGGTAATCAAGCATACCCCTGGAAAGGAAAATATCGTAGCAGATGCCCTATCAAGGATTAAAATAGACGAACAAGGCAATACCGTAAAGGTGGCAATGCTCACAGCGTGTACAATAAATTCCCGAGAAACTGTAATAGCCGAACTGGGTAAGGATCCTGAGTTTGGAAGTATTTATGAGTATTTGAAGGATCCTGAAAATTTTAGCCACCAAGATATTGTGGCGATAAGAAATAGGGCGGCCCATTACGAACTAATAGATGGTCTATTATTTTATACAAAAAACTACGAATTTCCAACAACGAATTTCGACCTGTTATCCCAGCTAGTCTTAGATTAAATATCCTGCAAGAGCTCCATGACAGCCCTTTAGCTTCTCATGCTGGTATTCGAAAAACTATCCAACGCGTACGCGAGGCAGTCTACTTTCCTGAACTGCAAAAGTTAACAAGGGCGTATGTCCAGTCCTGCCCAACATGTCAAGCCGTTAATTATATTAATTTCCGCCCGGCCGGGTTTCTAAATAGTATTAAATCCGAATTTCCAAATGAAATAATCGGCATCGATTTATTGGGGCCCTTTCCCAAAAAGTCAGTTAAAACAAAAGTCGCTATCTCCCTTGTTATGGTTGATCATTTTAGTAAAATGGACCGAAATTGTTCCCTTAAAACGAGCCTCCGCGAAATTAGTTACCGATTCTATTTTAAATAAATATATTTTAAAATACGGGGCGCCCCTAAAAGTTATATCGGATAATGGTCCTCAATTTGTAAGTAATATTTTGAAGACATGTGCCAAAAAACTGGGCATACGTCATTTAAAAATGGTCCCGTATCGGCCGCAATCAAATATAGCGGAACGGGTCAACAGAAATATAGTGAAAATTATCCGTAGTTATGTTAAAAATTTTCATAAAAGCTGGGATAACTATGTCAATGAAATTTGCTTTCGCCCTTAGGACCGCAAAACATGATACAACGGGAAAAACTCCTGCTGAGTTATTTCTAGGCAGAAAGATTATAACACCGTTAGATAAATTATTTTATGTGCAACAAAGAGCCCCAGAATTTAAAATGGGTGATATAGAAAAACTAATTAAGGAGGCAAAAAGAATACGGAAGTAGCACAGAGAAAACAAAATTGTATTATGACTTGAACGACGACGGGGAGTAACTTATAAAGTAGGGGATGATGAAGTAGTACTAAAAATTAAGCATTCACTTTCTTCAGCACCAGAAGATAAAACCTGCCAAATTTTTTCCACGATTTGAAGGACCATATGTTATAGAAAAAATAACTCACGCTTGTAGTGTTAAAGGCCAGGAAATGGTGAAACCTGTTCCGCAAATATTGATCAAATTAAAGCCCTACTTCGATCGTAATAAAATGCAAATCTTTTTCAGATCTTTTGCAGGATCCGGCACGGCAGACACCGCAGGTACAAGTTCCAGAGGTGGGGAAAACGACAAGTACAAACGGCAAGCCAATGAGAGACAGAAGCAAGTGAAAAGAAATTGCCCCGCGGAAAAATTGAAGGTAAAAAGAAAAAGAAGCCGTTCCACCGTCCAGAAAACAGAGTTCACGAACACCCCCAGAATGAAGAAGGGAGAAGGACGACGTATGTGAAGAGAACCAGGAGAAATGACGGCAACTATAACCCGGCTTTGAAACGGAAGATTGACTCATCCGACAGAACTCTCCGCAGCAAAAGTCGCCGAACTGCGGAAGGGCCATCAGCGGCGGAGGAAAAAGTACAAGAAAAATTTGAACGGCCAACAACGAGGTCCAAGCAGGATCACGACAGAAGTTTCCCGGTTCCACCAAGACCAGCTGCCTTCAAACGGCCAAGACCACAAGCAGAGGACAAAAGGAAGGTGTTTCAAGGGTGGCCGTACTGGTGAAAACGGAAGCTTCCAGAGGAAAGCACTGAAGGGCGAGCCCGTACAAGAAGGAGGATCAACCAAGCTAACTATCTGCCTATACCTTTAAAGACTGGGCCCAGAAAAGGATGTCCGAATATTACAAAGATAAGTAAAATTTTATGTTACTTTGCAAACTTAAGTTAATCTTTCATTCTTACTGCAAGTGGCAGATTTCAAGAAGTTTTTACCTCATGCGAGGGTCTACCTTTATCGCCAAAAGGGCGAGAAATGAGTTGTTGACCGATTTTCTTATTATGTTTTTCAATTACTCGTGCGGTAAAACTAAAGTTTGATGTATAATAGCGTTGTGTAAAGACTTAAATATTGCAAAAAGTTATTGTATAAAATTTTATTTAAAACATTCTAGCAAGAAAGAAGTTTTAGTCTGAAAGACTTTTTGAAATGTAGTATTATTTCAATGTAGAAAGAATTGGCACTTGCTTTCAAAAGAATAGAAGTTAACAATGTACTACTAACGTATGTTTCAAATGTGTAAAATTAACGGCATGTTGTGATATGTTCTTTATATACATGTGAACTGTTATTTTAAATGTTAAAAAAATACCGTGATATGGTAAAAGTGAAAGTAATGTTAAAAATTTGTTATTCGTGTGACTGTATAAAGATTAAATCATGGCGAATATGTGGTTAAAGGTTGAATGATGTAGTTAGGCTCTCTGACGCTACACTTTAGAGTTAGCCACTTTTAGAATAGTACCTCAGGGTTTAGAGTTGAAAGTAGGGTGTGTTAAGAGGTCTCGTTATGTTGAATTTTAACACGTTAGTGTTTTGATTGTAGGAGGAAGTGTGGCACACGTAGACAGAAACACATTCGTGTTTTTGGTGTTCTTTTACAAACACATGTCAGAGAGCACGGGGAGAGATAATTAAAATAGTCATGAATTAAATAAGAATGTTAAGAGAAGTATATTGTATATGTTATTTGCAATGTCATTGTGTAACATTTCATTAAAATAGGTTCCTTCCAGATCTCTGGAAGGAACCAGAATTGAATAAAGCTCCTGGTTAGATGCAGTACAGATGAAAAAAAAAAGATTGTTGTAGATCCTGGGAGCTGCTATTGTAACAAATTTCTTTCTTTTAAATTTTCTAGTTTCTAACGAAGTTATGATTGTAAAAGGTTGGCCTCGCGTTATATTCTAGAGCTAAAAGTTTTCAACAAGGTCGTTTTAGACCTCAGTTTCAAACTAATTAACTCTGGCGGGAAGTATGTAAGGATCTTAAGTTTTACTAACGTTTATTTTATTTTAAATCTTTACTATCACTTCTTATTTTCTACTTCCGGCAGAATTATAAGCGTTAAGGATTTTATGCAAAGTTTGTCTGGCGAACGCCAAGTATTTAAGTGTGGCCTTTTTGCCGAGCGAGAGAGAGGAAGCAGTGAGTTCGAAGCAGGCCGCTTACCTTAGAAGTTACGCAGTTGCTATTTGCCTTCCAGGCCAGAGGTTTTAATCCTCTTAATAAATTAAACGTATTGTAGTGTTCACAGTCTCTGTGCTACATACGCTTCCTGTTATTATAAGGCCAATCTTCCACGTGTGTTATTCTAAAGTTAAATTAGAGTTTATTTTTATTTTTTATACCTTTTACGTTAGACCCCGAGTGGAGGGTCATTGTATTCCGAAGTACGGAAGTCATTGTATATAAAGAAAAATAAAGGGTTTTGTATACCCTTCGTCTGTATCCTGTCTACTTACTACAATTAGTGAACATAGCTTTAGTAAGCTCTCTGTTCCTAGTCAGGTCATTGTATGTTTCCGAAGAAGGTTAGAAGAAACATTGAACCTGATAATGGGAGCATTTTTTTTGTCAAAATATCTACCTAAATGAAAGAGCAAAAGAGATTATCTTACCTTCTTATACATCCAATAGTCAGCTATGAAAATTTTAATGTTGGGTTAAAATGTTGGATTAAAGAGATGTTTTCAAACTGGAAGGAGAAGTTAGCTAATAAAGCGCAGGTTCTTCGATTTTACAAGATTATGTTTTTAAATTTGAGTCACGTTCTTTCGACGTCGGTGTTTTCCTTGGGCGGAACCGCACGCTGTTGAAATATACTACAGTTTTAATGCAAGTTTTCCATAACTTAAAAATAAGTTATTCTTTGGTTATTCAAAAGTTTCAACTAAACTACATAATTCTTGTCGTGAATTTAAATCAGAAAATGTCAACGAAAATTGTGAACTAGCATATAAAAAAATAGATTATGATCATCTTGTTCCATGTTAGAAAATTTAATTCAACAGTTATAAACAAACAAACATGTTATTAATCGTTTCAACATATATGTCGATTCGCCAATTAACACCTATTCCAAGAATGTTTTTAACTCATTGCTCAGTTGAACTTACGATCATTCGCATCACTATCTCGATCAGTGAATGGGGTTCCATATTCGCTAATTTGAAGCTTTGTGATTTCTTCGTGTGGGGATCTATCGCAAATTGAGACTAATAAAATGCTCACGAAGCAGTTATAGAGTTCAAAGAAATACGAGTACATCGATTGAAGGAGTATTTCAAGCACCCACCACAATTCTGCATTTCAAACAAACAAAATGTTGCCAAGAATTCTAAGAAATTTTGAGGTATATGCATTAGCCATGTATGAAATTTAAAATTATCATTAATCACTACAGAAATTTTGTTAATAATACTTTCGTGTTATATTCAGGTTAACAGAACAAAGTACTGAGGAAATCACCTTCGCTTACGTCCAAGAAGAAGATCCTACAGTTATTATCGTGTGGCAGAATACTGGTAATCTGTATGAAAAGGTAAGTTTTGCACTTAGTGGAAGACCATCAAGCCTTTTAGTGCAAAAAGCATGCAAAATCAATTGTGTCACCGCTTTAATTCCAGCCATCTATTTCATAATTGCTAGCTGAATGCATTAACTATTTACGCCAAGAAGAACACAAGGAGAAGGAGATAATTTTTTGCATTCTCCCTCCACTTAAAAGGCGACTCAGGAGAGACACTACCAAATCCAGTAGCAGCGGGATACTGTCCTCTACAGTTTTTAGTTCGAGCTGTGGAGACTGTTAGTTTATTGAGAAGGGATTATGAAAAATCAGCTCTGCTCTCGCCGTGACTCGAACAAAGAATCTTCCAATCTGCTAATCCTAATTTTATTTTAGTTTCTGGACAAACATGGACATATTTCAGTATGTAAAATATTCATTATGTTTAAATACAACGAGCAGTACCATAGTAGAGCCATTAAGACTTTCGGGAAACATGAAAAATAAGCAACGTGCACGCTAGGATTCGAACTTTGATCTTCCCCACTGCTAGCCGGATACGTTTCCAGTTACGCCTTGAAGATACGCAGTTAGGAGGAATAAAATAGCTTACACCGTTGTTTAATTTCTTCCTGAATTTGATAGAAAATTCTTGAAATAGGAATCGAAGAGTGATCTAAGTTAGTGAATTCATTCTTGAACATGTCAGGAAATTTTTGCTAGTAAATGTATGAAACATTTTTATGCTAGCACTTTTTTTGCCTAAAACATAGAAATAGAATTTTAAAATTAATATCTTTTAACTGGGAAAATCATGTTATAAAAGTTTTTTAACAGTTGTGAGACTTACCATACAGTAAATGCAATATTATTAATTTATCACATTATTTTGCATCGAAATGATAGTTACATCGGTAATGATACAGTATGCGATCTACCGCTTTTAGTTAGTGATTTACTTCCTAAAATTTTGCTACACCCATTCAGTTTTTTTCCATTAAATTTAAATTTCAGTATTTCCATAATTCAATAATAGTTTCATAAGATAAAAAATTCAGTAGCTTTCATATTCGAAATTCGAACTTGCAATAAAAATGTGGGGAAAAGAGGAATTATTAAAACAATACCCAATTTTAAAGGCGCGTCTAAGAATTAAATAACTTGTAAAGTTTAATTCTTTTGGGTAACATTCATTGTTAAGCTCTACGCAGGCTCACTAAATCTAGCAGTATCACAGAGACTTGAAATGGGTGTAAAAGGCCTTTATTTAGAAATAAGTAAAATGAATAGAAGGATTCGTGATGCTTGCAATTCCTACCAGCATTAATGAGGAGAAACTCAAAGCCAATTAGTCAAACGTAAAGCTTAAATTTAAATAAACTAATAGCTAAAGGATACGCAGAGCAATTAAAGCAAAGTTGACTCAGAAATTCATCGACGCGAGTTCAGCTATCAACAATTATAATGTAAAGCCGAAGACAGGAGCTCTTATCTAAGTGGCCATGGGTGGCAGAACACGCTCTATCTTAGGTACAAAGTACCAGGCTCATTTTGGAATTTAAATCTAGAAAATACTTCCTCGCAGAAGATTTTGGAAATTTGGACTTTCTTAGCGAAACCCCGTGCCGGTTAGAGGATTAACAATCTCAAACTCTCACTTAAATACACGTGAAATTTTAATTTGTATTTTGTCGGGGAAAACGAAAAGAGAGAAGTGAAATAAGGATTATAAACATAAAATAACTGGTTATACAAATTAAAAAAACCTCACATCTTTCTTCACGAAAATTTAAGTAAAGTACGAAGGTCTTTGATGACCTTGGTAAGATCTTTAACTAACCAAGAGTCAACGTTTTACAAGTTAGAAAACGGATAAACTAAGCTTAAAATTAATTACATACAGCTGGGTCTCCGAAAGACAATTTCTTCATATTACATTTTGATATTATCAGTAGGGACAAATCCAAATCATTTTACATAATTTTCCTTTTTTTAATTCAATTTTATCAGAATCCTTCATATATTTTGTAACTATTCTAGAATTAATTTTTCTGCTTTCCAGTAAAATGTACAAGTATTTCAACACTACCATCTAACCGGAATCCTAGGTGTTAGAGACTTAAACGCACTTAAAAAACATCTTAAATTCAAAGCTGTATCTAATGTGCTAATCAAAACAGATCCTTAAACTTTTTGTGTTGGCTGGAGAGCTTAACTTTTAGTTTCATGTCTACTGCTAGCTTGTGCTTTAATTTATTTTATCTTACTTTGCTAACTTGCACTTAAGCATTTTATTCACACATTAATAGTTCAACTTTTCCAAGTATTCTATTTTTTAGAACTTTTACAAACTAACATAGCAAATATATATCATGAAACAATTATAGTACATTTTCATTAAAAAAAAATCCATTCAGGTTACATTTTATATCACATGTATCGGAGTTGTTCAAAGTTATTTTACAATTTCCTCAAACTTCATCAAAAGTCAGTCATAAAATAATTGGTTATTCAAATTAAAAGAACTTCACAAACTAATTAAAAGCGGTAGATCGCATGCCTCATCATTACCATTATATGCGGTGAAATAAAATTTTCTTAGTCACTTTCTTTTACTAACTTGTCTAATTTGAAATATTCGATTTCCTCATTTAATACATATCGATAACTATCTTGCAATGGATTATATTGATATTAAATATTTTGTTATACAGATACTATTCAATATTATAAAATTTGTGTTTGTGCTTTGTTTTCGTATACAGTTTGTGCTTATAGTTTATATAGATTACGTAAAATATATTACCTTAGATAATAAACTTCGATAGCTTTTCCGTTTAACTTTTTATGATTCCTTTTTAGCTGATAATCATACAAATTGCAAGCATAGTGGTTTAGTTTCATAAATCAAAATATTCGCGAAACATGCAGAATTTTTCTACAGTAATCTACAGGAACAGGGCTTTAGCTCCAAAGAAAGGTGCAAATGCTATGAATATAATATTAGCAGAAACATTAATTTTTCAAAATTCAAATCAGACAGTTCTAGATTATTTACATTCTTGCTAGAAAATGGATTTCGTCCACATCATTCCTTCTCTTTCTTAATCATATTAAGTGAAATTCCAAAAGAAACTGACTTTCTGTTTTGTATATCTGAAACAACTTTCGCTCTTAATAGCAAAATCAAGTGGTAAATAAATGTATAACAAATAATTAATAGATTCAGCGAGCAATTACGTAGGGCTAGCAATCATTAATTTAAATTTTTAAACTTAAAAAGCACAAAAATATAAGTATTTGGCTTATTTTAACTTATTTTGTAACTGGAAATACAGGTAATTCCCAATTATCCTGGGACTGGTTAGTCTTATTACAAATAAACCAATTTTTGTCTAGGAAAAATAAAGTTTATGTGTTGCATGCAGAATGAAGGAAAAATTAGTATCACAACCATTGGAATAAATAAAAATTTCTACGAAAAATAACGCGTGGAATAACAACAGAGATGGACTGAAAGTCATAGTTTATCCATAACAATACATAATTTAATTTTACGTATTACATAAACGCTAATAAATCATTTGTAAAAATAAATTGTTAAATATTCGTAAAAACAAATTAAGTGTACAACCATTAAGTATTATGTTTCCCGTTGACTATTACATAGTTTTAAGCGTGATGTCGACAAAATTATAATTTTTCTGTTTTAAAATACAATTTTAATGCTGATTTCATTCATGTAACTAAACCAACTTATTCTTCAAGTTATAAGGTATTTCTCTCTCCTTCCTAGCATGCCTTCGTGGTGTGGTGGTCTGCACGCTGGGTGCATATTCCAGAGGTCCCTGGTTCGATTTCCGGGGAAGGCTTTGCTCATTTTTCACTTTCTCTTGCTTCCAATTAACCTAATGTCTCTACAGTGGCGCCTGAACTAAAAGAGTGGTGGATGATGATTCTCCCGATCCAGGATTTGGCAACTGGGTTTCCTAAAAATTCCAGTCGCCCTTTAAAAGGGGGGGTATATAAGGTACTTCTCCCGCCTTTCTAGCATGCCTTCATGGAGCGTATTCACTGGGCGCGTATTCCAGGGGTCCATGGTTCGATTCCCGGCGAATTTAATCTCTCTTGCTTCCAATTAACCTGATGTCTCTACAAAGTTAATTTGCAGAATACACGTAAACTGTTAATAATATTTTTCTGTTAATTATAATATGGGTTTTCCTCTTTCCTTTAATTACGGTATTACCCCGGTTAGTCGTGAGTCTACTGTATATGTTTGTGACCTATGACCAATATTCGTGAAAATGAAGGCTGAAGAAGGACTTGTATGGACGCGACGTAAAACAAAATTTTAAACTTTCTGGATTAATACTTCAAAGAAATAAAACTTGCGTTATGATCGTACATTTGAAACAAAAATATTTGAAAGAAGCGGCTTCTTTTTTGTTTTACTAATACAAAATTTTATTGTTTCTGCTTTTGTTTTATTTATCCATAGCGAAAATAACTGGCAGGTATGGATTATTTACAGAAAGAAGCTATCACAGGTTCAGTTTTGAGACTACTGAATGATCTTCCGAAACGTAGTAAAGCTGGACTCTATTGGTTTACCAATACAGTCCATATTGAAAGATATTTAAATGACAGTTCTCCTTGGCCTAGTACTATTTCTTCTAATTTTATCTCCGAAGAAACACCTTGCATTACTTGTGCTTTAAATGACGTCGTAAATGTAAGTACAAATGAATTTTATCAATCATTTTCTGCATGAAGATGTTTATTTGCAATGCTAGACGTTATATAAATTTATGCAAGTTTCTTGTTTTTGTGTTTAACTGCTTGTTATTCACCTACTTATGATTCGCCAGCAGCAGATTGGATTAAATCACCGAATTTTCAGGTTTGGTTTTCGACGTACAGATTGACTGCATGGGGTTTTCATTTTTCCCCAGTGTGCTGCAGGAAAACGAGCCAGTTTCTCTTAGAAAGTCCTCCTTAAAAATATTTTCTGTAAATCAGGTAGCACTTTGCAGTAATCAGCTAACCATAACTTAGTTCCCTATTTTCTTCAGGCAAAAAAGAAACATGTGTAAGATCTGTCTCTTCTACTCCACATAAAACTAAAATAGATCCTACAATGAACCTGGCGAATTCTCGCACAGGCGTGAATGAAATACCAGCACAGAAGAAGGGTGAAAAATAACCCTTTATTAATTCCAACTAATAACAGAAAGGCACGATCTTCGTACTCTACAATAAGACCGTCAACTTGCGGTGAAACTTAAACGTAGAATATAAATCAATTCAAAGACTAATTAGAATAGTGCTGGATTAGTGTTATAATAGATGGTGTGCTAACCGCAACCGCTCAAGGACAATACGAAAAAGATTGCAACAACGGGTTTCTCGCTCTTCTGCTGCTGGCGTTCGAGAGTGTAGGACGCGCTTCGGTCTGTCCTCTCCCTGGCCGATGCTATGTGTCATTTTCCTGCTTCTCTTTGCTGTTCCTTCGATGCTGTCTGCTATACAAGAAAATCCTTTTTAGCGAGATTTTTACATGAAGATTCAAGAAAATAATTACTCCTGTTTCCTGTACATTGTTGCAGAAAATAATTTTTGATCAGCTTCTTCCTCCTTTCGAGAACTCTTCGCGCACACGTGTTTGTGAGATCTGAAACTTCCTGATTTAAAGAAGAAAAAGCAGAAATACCAGGATTAATCAAGTACGCTTAATGACTGCCATCAATATTTGATTGTTTTTTTTACACCTAGAAGTTTTACACCAAGACAAGAAGAAGTTTCGAGCGGATGGAGAAATATTGACTTTATTCTGAGTGTAACGTTAATTCTGGTGATGCGCATCACTCGTGCTTGATGTTAAAATTTATTCGTCTGTCTGGTTGATAATTTTATTTATATCAATGCTTATTTCAATATCAAAGATGAAGAATAAAATATAATTGATTTGGTAACATACAGTTGTCATACTTTGGGGTAAGTACTTTCGTATTTCCTTCTAGATCACACATTTTGATCTGCAAGTTAGTAAGTATTTATGGGTTATTGCTACAAAATACGATTTACTAAGTAAGCAATTCATTTGATTTACGTCTGCTTATCCTTTAGTTCAAAAAACGCCAAGTGACTATTTTTGGTGCTAAAGTAATTCTAATTCACTACACTTAATTCTATTTCATTTTTTACATTTAGCAGCGCAATACACCATCTATTATAACAATTAGCACGCTAAAGTATGGCTAACTTAGGCTGACTCGGAAAAACCTAAAAGATGTGACAATTATAAGAAATGGCCAAGGGGCGTACTAGCCTAACAGCAATATGGTTGTAGTAGGCATTCTATATCTTGTGTAGAAGTTTTCCAGACTGCCTTTTTTTATATATTGCCGGTAAATAATAAATTTAATTTTTACAGGCACTCACAACCGACATGAATGACAGAAGAGGATTCATTGCTATGATAGCTGGAGCAAATCCATCAAACTATGAAGAAGTCCTCAAGAATATAAATTCGTCAGATCTCTGTCTCATTGTAATAGGATTTCGTGGAGCTACCAGAGATGGGTTCAAAGATTTGATATCTGCTTCGAATTGTGGGTCATTTTACGAAGCACCGATCGAAGAAGACAATCTTAAGTCATTTTCCAGGCTGTATAATGCAATGGCTACGATTCTGCCACCTAATGACCTTAATTATGAAACTATAATAGTAAGAACATTTCCAATAATTCCGATGAAACAATAAGAGTTTTACCAATGTTATTATTCCTGACTGAAACAATCATAAACAAGGCTGGTTATTGAAGTATAGAGTATGTTCCTGTTTTTGCAGCGAATCGCCATCTGAAACAACGCAAAACCTTCATTAAAGCCTAAAAGCCATTCACGCGTTTAAAAAATTAAAGAAAAAATTGTGAGGTTGTCATTAATAAGTCTCGTATTTGCACCTCGAATTTGCGACCGTAATTAAATAATAAATTTTTATACATTTTTATTTTCTTATAGTTAGGGGGGAAATACAAAAATGATTACGGAAAAAATTCTGCGTAATAATCTATCACGCATTACCGTTTGCTCTCTAATTTACAGATATACTTTTTCTCATGCGTATCCAGCTCCAAGAACACGACGTTTAGCAAGGGCTAATTGCATACGCCGTTAAATTGGTTTCATATTCAGTATAAGGCTAGAAACTTTGCGAGTGTCATGTCTTTTGAAAGAGGGTTATCTAAAATTTGTCTCTTTAAAAGTTCTTCGAAGAGACTGATGGTGAGGGGTATTCTTTTCTTGGAGTGCTTTCGGTAATAGCCTACTTAATGATGTGCCATAAATTCGTTTTGTAAGTTACTGATCATCAGTCGTCACTGTAATACATAAAATCATATCGTAAGTTTTAGCACAAATAGCTACTTGTTGTTGTGTTCCACTGGTATCTTCCATTTGTAAACGAGCGAAAGATATAAAATACGCTATTATTTACTCTTACTGAGGGTGTATACATATACGTGATATTTAATAAATAAAGGTAACACACAAAATGTTAAAAAATGCCCCTTTGGACGTAATTTAAAATCTGAAACCTTTGAGATTTTGTTTTTCTTTTTTTTTTCTTTCTGTTTTTGAACTGTAATGCTATATCAGTAAATTACCTTCTTAGGTGCAACTGCTGTGCTTTCGAACTGCTTAAAAACAAAACCATCATAAAAAGAACTATGGTAAAATATTAGTGGAATTTTTAGCAATAAGTGTAAACATGAAAAGTACCTATCCAAGAATGACTACATTTACTGCATTTTTAAATACTGTTTGAGAAATTGGAAGAGAAACACTCCCACTGTAAAATTTAAAATTAGTGAAAATAATAAATACCAGTCTAAAGTTTTTATTTTAATACCTCTTAATACTTACAGAAATCCGTTATTTTCTGAAGCCCAATAATATTATATTTATTTGCATATTGTCAAGAATGTTGTGACTATTGAAGAAATAATTTTCAACTCACGCATTTTATGAAAGCCATGCGAACGTCAAGAGTGCTTTTGATCTATGTATGTATAAATGTTTTATTACATTTGTTGCTTAAATGAGATAAACATCTCAAATAATTAGAGTTTTTTACTTTTGTTTTACTATAACCGGATTTTCCGGATTTTTAAGATCACACTTCCTGCTAGCATTATAGTGTTTCACTGCTAGTAACAGCAAGAAGAAGAGCACTCTTAATACTGTATTTGTCATTCTGTTGCATTTTGCTGATGAAAGCTCAGGAAAATAATAAAGTTCCTCAGCCAACTTTTCACTTAGAGAAGAGAGGCTGTGAAAATTTTGGCAGTATGATTAATAGATTAGTGATCTTTATTTATTTATTTATTTATAAGCTATTTTACGGAAAACATTTTGTAAACATTACATATGTTTCATAAAAATTTCCTTGATGCCCAGCTTTATATTACCGTTACGAAATGGTTGCATACTGATTTTTTTCAACTAGTCTTGTTGTCGAATCAATCGAAAGTTAATTTTCAAAAATTCTAACGTTATTTTCCCATATTTGGCAGTTTTTAAAACACTGCCGTCATTTTTTAGATATCGTGCAGCTGCTAGCAAAGAACTTTAATATTATGCAGTTGCCAACAATCCTACGTTCAAAAGTAGCGATTTATCTTTTTTTATTAACTTCCCGCATTCTTTAGACAAAAAAATATAAAATAAACTATGAAAAAAATCTTTTTCAAAACTAAGGCTTTAATAAAATGCGCTAAATTGTAAAAAATAATTTTTTAGCTACATTAGTTTTCTTGACCATATGCAACTAAAAAAAAAAAATTGTGGGATCTCGTGAAGAACTATACTGGGACATCACAGAGTTTCAAACAATAATAAAAGTGACAGTATATAAGAATAACGTACATAAGGAATGATTACATTCTTTTGATGATTCTTAGGTTTAATTTTAGTGCAATTAATTAAAAATGTGCTATTTTAAAATATATTTTATCTATTTTTTCATGATTTTATAAAGCATCGCAGTTTCCAGTATTTTTTTTATTTACTGCAAACTACTCTAGTATTTTATGATTATATATTCGGCATCCATAATTAACTTTTTTTTGTGTGTGTGCGCGGCATGTAGACTGATACACAATATCTGGAATATGGGAAACTTTTGAAAATTCGAAGACATGATAATGCAGCAAGTTTTACTCTTCGATTGAGCAGACCCGTTGAACTCCAGTCCTTGTCGTGCAAGGTTCATGATACTACAGTACTGCTGAAACCGGAAACATCTTCATCTTTCAGTTTTGAAGCTCAAGCGGTATGTATTCCTTCTAATTTTTAGAGGAAACAGAATTCTAGTATTTTTAATATCTTCCAGTTCTTGGGAGATTTTAGTGTTTCCCCCAGGTTTCACAGGAATAATTAGATTAGCTTAAATTAATTGATTTTGTATAATGATATGAAATAACTCTTTGATAACTTTTCTCTGTTTATAGAGTCTATTGCTTTAGAACTGGCGCTTCAGAGTCATTTTTCAACTTCTTCTTTGCTTCGCAACCACAGTAACGACTGCTACAGAAAAATTCGTGTCATATAATTTGTGAAAAATCTCCTAACCTTCTATATACGGTAACGACGACACATGTTATAATCGTATATGTGAGGAGGAATTGTTACGACATTGAAGGACGTTTTTTAAAGTAATAGATTGTGTATAAAGTTTTTCAAACACTAAAGAAAAAAACCTTCATTCGATAACTTTCTTCCTTTCAAACAGTATAAAAGCGTCCTTCTACGCCAGACACCTTATGATGTCTATAAAGAGGGCAACGGGTGAGAAATATTTAAGCTAATTCTAACTGCTATCCCCTTACGAGTTTTGTATCTATTGCCCTCTTACAGAAGGGGAAGAAAATGTATATGTAACAGACTTAGGCATTAAGCGGACCATCTACACGGTGACCGATCATATATGACTGAATTCAGATAATTTGATAATGATGAAAAACTTTTTGACGAAGCGCTGTGTTGCGATCACTTGAATCTGAGTTTTCAAAAATAAATTCAAGCGTTCAGATGTCGAATTCCAGAGGGTTACTATCACTATTTAAGTTTTATTTCTTCTAGTCTGTTTAACGTGGTTCATTCCTTCTCAGCATTTCTAAAGTTATTTTTATTACGAAACTAAAAGCTAATGTGTGTTACAAAAGCAGTAGCATTTGGATTTATCGGGAGTAATTACCGAAATGCATGAAAATTTATAAGTATTGGAATTTTACACAAAAAGGTTTTCTGCTTTCTGCTTAAGAGATGATTAATTTTGTGTTAGTACCTTACATAATTATCTCAATTTTAGAAATGGATAAATAATGTTCTTTCTCTGTAAAGTGCCTATCTTTTAACTATATAAACTTAAGTTTTCAACTTTTCCAACTTTGTATAGCTCTCGTGACCTCCAAAAATATTTCCAGAAACCCCGGGAAGGAAAGTTTTGTATATCTGGGAAAAAACCTAAAGTGCCAGTATTGCTTCAATCTCTCACTTTCGAATAGTAGGTTTTATTAGGGCAAAAATCTCATGTTTAATTTAAATAAACCTACACTGTTTTAAATGCTTATTAGAGGACTCGTACACATTAAAACCCCTAAGATCTTCGAATATGTGACTGTTGCAAGAATTGAGATATTTTATTTATTTTAGCAGCAAATACTTCCAACGTTTTACAGCTGACTACATAATATAGCCGCTTTGTGAACTAGTAACCAGAAATTTTGTGGTGCCACAAATATTTTTATAATTTAATCTGCTTTGCGGCAAAATTTTTTATGCGTTCACGTCTTGTATCCACCTTGCGAGCATGATATTTTAAAAATGGCTAACGATGCATAATTGAAATTTGATAGAATTCTTTATATGGGCACTATCTTTTAACTGAACCAAAAATCTGATGAATATTTTAATATTAAAAGATTTTATCCACGAAAATATTACAGATTTTTTTAATAAAATATATTATATAAACTCAACTCCAAATAAATAAAAAATTAACTGGAAATTCTTTATGATTTTTGGTTAACAGTAGTTTCCAAATGTCATAAAAGCTATATATTAAATATGGAATTAAACTGTGCAACAGAATATTTTAAACTGTGCGCGCAAGGTGGAAACATGATGTGAACGCATTAACCCTTTAACTGCTTAAGACGTGTTTAAACGTTTTTGGAGTTTCTTTAAAAATGCTTAAGACGTCTTTACACGAATTTCAAATCTCACGAAAAATGCTTAAGACGTGTATACACGAAGCCCGAATTTCGCGAAGATTGCTTAAGACGTGTTTAGACGACGCGATCTGGTCTTCCTTCCCCTACCTTTCTGCAGGCGGCTGTCAGTTGACACAAAGGTCTTAATAGGGTGTGAAGTCTGTTTGAAAAGAACACTTTACGGATGGGTCCTGAGAATGAAGAATCATTGTCAGAGAGCAGGTGTGCATTATCTTTCCAACGACTGCAAGCTTGTGAATGAAGATAAATCGTTTTACAACAGTTTGCCTTGTGGTTATTTATACAAATGAAAGTTAAACAGAATCGCTCGTTGTTATAATACATTACCGAAATTTAGAAGAAACAGGAAAAAGTAACAATTGTAACGTAAGACGTACTTTTTAATAAACCATATATTATACAATGCATTAAAAGTTGACTACAACATCAAGAACAGGATAAAATATAAAATGCTGCAAACTATCTTGTTTGTCCTCGTATTTCAAGTGCGGGTATTTCTAATAGTATATTTTTCCTTTTACATTTTGAAATGTTAAAAATGTGCTTTCAGTATGCCTGATTTTTGTATTCGAATATGTGGCTGTGTGTTCCTTGTAAACGCGAACTGACATATAAAAATTTCTTGGATGTCGAAAGGAAGATATTCTACTCGAAAACTTCAATTAAATCGAATAAATTCATATGCCGCAGGAATTTCTAGAAATATTTGTTTTTAAAAATTTTATTATTAAGATTTGAAATACAAATTAGTTTTAAAATCTAGGGGAAAAGTATGCATTTCTTGGAACTTTTTTGGAAAGAAATCTACCGGTATAAAATCGCTTAAAATCAATGGAGTGTAAGTTAAGTAAAACAGTTAATGTATGGAAGAGTTACATATACTGCGCACAAAAATTAGTCAGAGGAACAATTAGCTAACGAATTAAATTAATTACATTAAAAGAATTTCGTTAGAAAATAACCTCTCCAAATGTCAGTGCTGATAGCAGCACTACGAATGAAAGTTATTAAATTCCTAACTTAATTAATCCGTTGGTACTCAATAATTGTCACCTACCAGCGGCCGATCAGTAAACGTCGCTGAACACTGATAATTCGGTCTGAGGTTCGAATCCGCGAACGGGTTGGCTGCAAGGGCGTTTTCGTGATTTTTCCCACGTGTAACGTGTATACGAGCCAGTATCCCTTAGAAAGTCCTCCACGAAGGCATCCCTCCTCTTAGGCAGATAGCCCTCGAGGCTTTGCCGTAATCACATAAAACCAAACCAAATTAAAAACCAATAACTATGTGTTCGCGATGCTAGGCTACATGGCAGTTTTCGTGGATTTTTGCTGCCTATTTTTAACGCGAATATAAGCCAATCTCATTTAAAAAGTCCTTCACGAAGACGTGCTCTGACTACGAGTCCTCGCTTGGGATTACGTTTGGACTGTTAGATTAATGACAAAGCTCGCAAAGGGCGATCTGTTTAAAGAGGGTATGCTTTCGTGAAAGACCTTCTAAGGGAAACTATCTCGTACCGGTGTTACATATAGGTAAAATTCACGAAAACGCAGATGTGGTGAGCCAGTTCACAGAGGTTTCAATCCAGGTCAAACTACCAAATAGTCCTCGTATATTTTGTCATGAGCTAAATAAAATAAAATACAATATCGCGAAAGTCACTTTATGCTATTGAAATGGCAATAACTTTGTATTATACAGGCTATCATTTTGCCTTTGTTATGAGATTTTGATCTTTTCCGTTATCCAAGCTAGCCCATAATGGAATACTGGTAGTTCTATCCGGGGTTCGAATCCCGGCTACATGGATGCTTTCGTGTCTTTCTCATGTGTAACGTGTACACAAGCCGGCTCCCCTTAGAAAGTCCTCCACGAAGGCATCCTTCCCCTTATGTAAATAACTCTCGAGTGCTTTGCCATAATTAAATAAACATGCTTAAAATATTTTGTATTGAAAATTTTATGCGTCAAAGTTGGTCCCCGTTAAATGAAATATGCTGTTTTTTTTTCTTTGCTTTTATAGCAATGTTCTTGTTTTCAGAATATGAAATGTCAATGAAACATTTTTAATAATGTCTCATTCTGTTTTGTTTTTTGTTTAATGAAAAAATGAATTTAAGTAACAAATTTCTTATGTTTAGAAAAATTTTACCATTATCGAAATGAGTTGCTGTCGAAGTGCATTTTCTTACTAGCGCATATATTTGTAAAGAGAAAATTGTTTCGCGCGTGTTATCCTATAACTGAAAAGATCAAGAGAAATTTCTATAGGGAAATAAAGTTATTAATTTTAAATAAAAAATAAAGTTATTTGTAAATTAAATGTGTTTTGAGGCAAGAGTAAAAATACGAGATATGCAATGAATTTAAAATAACGATGTATATAATAAGGATTTTGCCGACAGACATTCCCCGCGAAATTTGCTAAAATTTTCTATATGTAGAATTAATGTATATTCCGCTTAGTATTAGAATTCAGTGATATAACAACTCACTTTATCAGTGTAATTATGTGTTATATCGAGATTTAGTTATGTCCGATACCAGCATTTTATTTTTGTTTTATAAATCTGGTTCGTTTACTGATATTATGTTTATTAAATACGATTTATCAGGTTTTCAAATTCTATCAGAGCCCGATAATGGCCCACCTAGCTAAGACCGCTGATTACTACTAATTCCACTCGCACTGAAACCAAAACGAACAAATTGGCTGCATAGTTGGGTTTCATAGTTTTTCCCATGAATATGAGTCACATGGATATGAGTGAGTTTTACTTAGAAAGCCTACCACGGCGACTTGTCTATCCTTAGACAGACAGATCCCGTTTGCTTTGCCATATTCAAATAATCTGACAAAATGTGACAACAAAGGCTAATAAATGCATATACCGAAATAAAATAAATTTAAACGCATATTACAAAAATAAAATAAATGCATATAACGTAAAAAGTGATATCACAACAAATTTTTTATTATTTTTAATACACTAATTCCTAAATTGCATTATTTTCAAATTTTATTTCATTTTT